ATGCAAAACAGAGGGGCAGAGGGGAGGGAGGGAGGGGGAGAGAGAGAGACGGGAGGAGGGGGGAGACGACACAGAAGAAGATGTACGGGGCGCACAGATTTGCGGGGCAAAGACGCCGGGTTGGAGGTTGGGGTTCTCGCGGGGATGTGCCTGCCCCGGCGTCGTGGCCGGCACAAATCCAAGAGACTCGGTGTCGAGCATGAAGTTGTGGGCGCTGAAAGTCCGCACGTCCAGCAGGATGGCCGACTGGCGCTCGGGGTTATGTACGCAAATGAGATTATCCACCAGGGAGATGGACAGCGGAGAGCGTGAGAGCCCGGGAGAACTGGCCCCCGAGGTGTCGGAGATGAGCCCGAGCGAGGGGATGATCTTGATGCCGAGGTCCGGGTCGGGGATAAGGTTCCCGGCGAACGCCGAGCAGGGTGGCAAGTCCCAAAGGCGTTTCCATGCCGAATCCACCGAGCTAAGCAGATGCCCATCCCCAGAGGCGGCATTTGGGATGTCCTCTTCGCCGCCGGGGCCGAACCCGGCAGCTTGGCCGCTACCAGGCAGGTCCAGCGAGGCGAAGGTGCTCGAGGCCCGGGCGCTCAGGGACATGGTAGACAGGTCGCTGTTGATGGCGCGCGCCGGGGCCCAACCTGGGGACATGGGCTCCGGGTGGAGATGGTGTGCCTGGCCGGTCTGGAAGGTATCCAGGCTGCCGGGCTGCGAGAGGGGCCCCTGCTGGACGACAGGGAAGGAGATGATCTGCTTGCATTCGTTGAGGGTCACTCGAAAGACGATGAGGTCACGACGGCGCATGTAGATGAGATAGATGGAGTTGTAGCTGCGTGGGGTGATTGGATGTTGAGGAACGACGGGCGGAGGGGCGAGGGGAGGCGTGTGGTGAGCACACGGGTACACTTTCAGGCGAGGATGCACAAAGCGAGAGCGGGGGCGGAAACATACAGCAGAGCAATCGTCAGCTCATCTGGGAGGACGCTGCGATCGGCCGAGCGCTGGCCCTTTGCCTGGGCGGGGGGAACCTCAAGCGTCAGGGGGGGCAGACTGCCAGTGGTTCAAAGGGACAAGGGGGAGGTGGGGGACGTCCGCGAAGATGGTCGGGGCTCGGGAGGTCAGACATGAAGCGAGCAATGTCGGCAGCAGGGAGGGAGGGGGGGCAAATGAGCTCCACATGTTCCCTGGCCTTTGGATGTCGGATGACGCACGGAGTGATCTTCCCCTGTTGGATGAAGAAAAAGCTGATGACATTCGACAATTCCCCAGAGGCTAGCATCAGGAGATGGGCGTCGTGCTGTAAGTGCGCGTGTGGGCGCGAGGGAGAGGGGGCGGAGGATGAGGGGGGGGGGGGAATGTCGATAGGCCGTCAGAAATAGAGCGTGCAAAATGGGCCAACTAATTGGGGCGGGAGGTGTGCGCCCGCTGGGGACAGGGGGAAGTCAGCACAAAAGGGAGACCATGGCGCACATTGTACTTGAACCAATTGGCCTGCAGGGGGAAGGGTTGCTTCTTGGAGAAAACGGTCAAGTCCTTGCCATTGGCCGAGGGCTGTGGCCATGCAGACGACCGGGAGGAGGCGTGAGGGTGCGTGCACCAGCGGGAAGGACAGTGTCAGAGCCGGGCCCTTGGAGCATGGGACAAAGAGATGGGACAGGGAGGGAAGCAGGGGAAAGGGGCGGGGCCGCACCTCGAGCATGAAGAGCCCCGTATCGGTGACGAGACAGAGAAGCTGCTCCGTGTGCCAAAAGAGGCCGAGCAACTTGGCATTGCGCTGGATGGGGAGGAACATGCGTGGCAGGTCCGGGTGGCTGAGGGACGGATGGCTGTTGGTCGGGGAGACCAGGCATCGCAGGGGTTCGGCACTGGCTCGCCCGTCGGGCGTGCCCTCCTGTGCGCGATGGATCTCCAGCATGTGGCAGGCCAGCGTGCGGCGGATGGAGAAGCGCGAGAGCTCCAGGTCCATAGATCGCACGAGGGCCATCCGCCGGCCGCTCAGCGAGGGGGAGTAGCAAAGGAGGTTGCGGAAGAGTTTGCTATGTGGAGGGGCGCGGCATTTGGGATGGGGATCAGTCGGGCCCGAAAGCAGGATGAGGGAGGGGGGGGGGAAGGGGAGGAGCGGGCATGCGCACTCTTGCTGGAAACGATACTGGGCCCCGGTGTCCAGGCGCACGGTGACCAGGGTGTTCCAGTCGCAGGGAAACTTAATCGGACACAGGGAATCCGACGACGGCAAGGATTTGACCGCGGCCGAGCTGGAGCTTGGCGGCATGAGGGTCGGCGATCCGGGAACCAGGGCCGGGGAATTGCACTGGCTGACGCTCTCCTGCCAGTCGGCCAGATGCTCGATGAAGGAGTCCCGGTGGGAGCGGCACTCGGCAAAGACGGCCACCTGCACCGGAGGCGTGGCCGAAGCCACCGGGCGCTCGGTCATCGAGGAGAACCCATCAATGTTGAGCAGGACCCGGCCCGGACCAATGAAAAACGGGCGCTCCTGGGGCAGGTGCCCCGGGGCGGCCACTTGCGATCCGACGCAGGAGGAGTCCACGTTGCCAGGGGGGTATTGCTCCTGGTATTGTTGCTGCTGCTGCTGCTGCTGCTGCTGCTGGTAGTAGTGGCCGTGATGGTCCGGGGGAGCTGCCTCGCCGTCCACCGGCGACCCGGGTGCCAGTACGGGCGAGTCGGCCGGTGATCCCGTCGTGGAGCATATCTGCACATAGGATTTGTACAGGAGGCGCTGCTCCAGCTGGTCGGGAGTGAGTTTGGTCAGGGGAACGCGGGTCGGGTCGTCCTGTGGCGGCTGGGTCAGCATTGAAGCCAGCACCACGAGCGGCGAACTGAGCGACATGGCGGCCGCAAGGAAAGGGAGGGCCCCGAAAGTGCACGAGCGCCGGAGGGAGGCGGCGGGGGGGGAGGAGAGTGAGTGCACTCTCACGCGCGTGCGCGCGCCGGAGGGCAGGGGGGGGAGGAGGGGGATCGGTGGGCAAGCGGCGCGCCCAGGGTCGAAAGGAAAGGCGAGGCACGAAAAAGGGGACCGGAGATGGGGAGGGGGGGGGGCAGGTGTGGGAGGGGGAGGGTGCAGAATAACTTGAGGCGAGAAGTGGCAAGCAAGCATTTTCACAGAGAAGACATCCGAAAGTACCAAATAATAATACACGCCAACACATTCCCCCCAGGACCATCGTGGCGGCTGGCCGAGTCCCCCCCTGTCTGGGCTCCAAGGCTGCTGGTGTAGGTCGATCTAGTGCCTCTGGGACATGCATGCCCGTTGCGATGGCGATTGTGGCCCCCGGCCCCTGCCCACCGTCCGGTGTTCGTTTTTTTTTTCTTGCCTGAACCGGTTCTCGGCCCCCCCCTCCCCCCTTGTCGCCTCCACTGATCCGGGCCACGTCTGGACACCGGTCGGCCGGCGGGTCGGTAAGTCGCAAGGGCAGCAGGCGGGCAAAAGGGAGGATGGCAACTGGAGCCCCTGCTTGGTCCTTTTTTGGAGTCCCCGGCCCGGGGCCCCTATGTGAGTTGCACTCGGCGCCGGCGGCGGCCGGTGTTGGGCGAGCCGCTCGAAGCACGGCGGTGGGCACGAAGGAAGGCCGGTAAATATGGGCGATGGGCAGGGTCATTTGTTGGTACTGGTGCCGAGAAAATATCGTATGCCATGCACGTGTACCGGATGTATCACACGATCATAAAGGCTAACGCGCGGCATGATAAAGGGAAACGCCATTATTCACTACCTTGGCACATGGGTGAATATCCTCTCTCGCCGGCTGGCTCCCCCCGCCCGCCCGCCCGCCCCAGACGCAGGGAGCATCAGTCCGCTCTGCCCGATTCCGCCGTGTGCCTTTCCTGCATGCCTGCGAAAAGATGCACACACGCCCGTTGCGGCAGCAGTTGACCCGAGGGGTGTGTGTGTGTGTGTGTGTGTGTGTGTGTGCGGGCGGGCATCTGGCTGACACGGGCGCGGATGTGCTCTCGGGTCCATGCAGGCCGCCGGGCCTCCCCGGGCGGCACACCCGGCTGCCAACCGGCGGGTGTGTCTTCCCTTGGTCGCGCGGGAAGGTGGATCCGTATGGGGGCTGCGCGGCCAAGCTCCTTCGATCAGCACTGGCGCCCCTCGACCTGCCCCCCCTCCCCCATCAGCCAGCCGACCAGCCCGCCAGCGAACACCCCTCGCTCTCTTTGCCATCATGGCCCGTGCTTTAGCCGGTGTTCGTGGCGGGGACCCCCGGCACTACACATGTGTGTTCTCGGCCCCCTGCCACCCTTTCCCTTGAGGCGTGTCTCTCCCCTCAGACTATGTGGTTGAGGGCTCCCGTGCAGGAGGGGCGGCCTGTGGTCCGATTGCCATCTGTCCGGGGGGGGGGGGGGGGGGACCAATGCCGATGCCCTAGGCCATCAGGCGGCGTGCCATCGTCCACGGGGCCGGCCAGCCTGGCCAGCAGCGGTGCACGTCGCAACTCATTCTCCCTTTCTCCGCCCCCCTCCCTCCCTCCCCCTCTCCACTTGCCTTCGCCGCGCCCTCCCTCTCTTCACCCTTCCTCTCTCTCTCTCTCTCTCCTCCCATAGGCCCTGGCTGTCACCATGCTTTCCCGTTCCCTGTACGTCATCTCCCCTGTGTCTGTGCTTTTGTCCTGGCTGTTGCCTCTGCGCCCTGCTGCCTCCTGTGTGTGTGTGTGTGTGTGTGTGTGTGTGTGTGTGTGTGGGGTTCACTCTCAGCGCGAGATCTGACCCATCCTCTCGCTCTGCCCCTCCCTCCGGCCCCAGGCTGCCGTCCGTCAGCCCCATGGCCCGTCTGGGCGCCTCGGCGCGAGTCGTCGCCGCCCCTCTGGCCTCGCTGCAGTCGCGCGAGGAGACTCCCGCCCGGGCTGCCGCGGCCCCGGCTGTCGCCAACCGCCCGGCCGTGTCCATGTGGGCCGTGTCGCGCGCTTACTCGCAGCACTCGCTCGAGGGCATGCACTCGGCTGGCATGGCTCGTCGTAACTACTCGACCGCGCCGAGCAGCTCGGCGGCGGCGGTGGCGGCGGCGGCCACCCCTTCCGACGCGCCGGCCTCTGTGAGCGCCGCTGTGTCCGAGGCCGCGGCGGCGGCCCCGCTGGGCTCGGCCAGCCTGCCGGAATCGCTCGCCGCGGCGATCGGCGCCGATGACACTGCCCCTGCGCATGTGTCGGACTTTGCCAACTACGATCTGACCAACAAGGCGGATCTCTACAACTATGGCCTGGATGGCTTTTTCCGGTGCGCCCCGATGGAGGCTTCCTTTCGGCCATCCTGGCCTGTTTGTCTGCCTTTTTTCCCCCCCCCCCCCCCCCCCCCCCCGTCTCCTGCTGACTCGCGTCCGCCATGCCTGCAGTGGCTATTTCTCGGAGTTCCTGAATGTTCTGCACTTCGACGCCGGGCTCCCCTGGTGGGGTGCCATCCTTGGTCTGTCGGTGGGCATTCGTGTTGTGGCCTTCCCCTTCCTGGCGCGCCAGGTGCGCGCCAGTGCTGTCATGCAGAACATGATGCCCCAGATGTCTGTCATCCGCATGGAGATGGAGGCCGCCCAGCGCAAGGGCGACAAGGCCAAGGCCGCGGAGGCCACGCAGAAGATCGCAGCCATGTTCACCGCCAACAAGGTGAACCCCCTGTCCCCGGTGCTGTATGGTCTGCTGCCGACTCCCTTCTTCGTTGGAACCTTCATGGCGCTGAACCAGGTGTGTTTCCCCCCCCCCCCCCC